ATTACATTTAGTGGACTTAAAGTGGACGGGAAACCTTATGATTCACAGTTTTTATACCTGTACAAGTGATCTTTATCACCACAGATTTGAATGGGAAATTTAAAACGAGGCTATTTGGTTTTTAAGTGAGACAAAGCTGGCAGTTTGGGCCTTAAATGAAACAGTCAGATTTCATTTAATCTGACTGTTACAAACTGAGTTTGTAGCTTCTGTATCAAAGGCTTTTCCAGAGGCCCTACACACTTTGATAAAGTGAACATTCACACTTTGGCGCGTACAAACGCCGAAGCGCATACAAACTCCGAAGCACTTACAAAACACAACAGAAGTGCTCCAGGATGCTGGGCGCAGTGTTGAGCTTTTGTCACCTCGTGGCTACACAAGCCAGCAAGTACCAACGACCGGATTTGTGTGTGGTAGTAACAGGTAAATTATTCTTTTTTTAATTATTGGAATATATATATGAGTGCTTGTGTATAAATACACAAACAATACACATATGCTTTCAATTGTGCAATTTAAGTGATCTAGGTAGCGAGTAGTGACTGTTGCCGAATGTAGCCTCTTATCTCTCTGTTGTTCTTCTTGTTTTCCATTCAGGATGTTGTCTAGAAGACGGGCATGGTCCATAGGCATTGTATTTTCCACATGAGTTCCCTACATCACCAAACAGGAGAGCACAATACAGTGCACACAGATGTATTATATAGAATATCTGTAATATAGTTTTACGTGCATGTGTTTATTTTGGAATGAATGGAATGAAAATACATATACAATACATTGTATAACTTGAATAACTACGAAATAATTGTTTATCAAGTACTGACAGAAATATTCAGACGTTTTACTTTTTTAAAGTGACTTATTGTAATAACAACACAAAAATATCGGCAATCAAAACAGTCAAAGAACTCGTGCTGCAGAATCATATATACATTAATTTATCAGACCATAATTGATTAATTAACATGGATTTTGCTTTAATGATGCAGTTAGAGATTGTTTTACTTTAATTCTACACTGATAGCGGAGTTTGATTTAACACAGTGATACAGCCAAAAATACCATGAGCTTTAAAATAAATGGTATGCTGTATAAAACAAAATATTTGTACTTAGTGGCCTGAGGTTGCAATCAAATTTCAGTGGGTTGGTGCCACCTCATGCCCACAGCATGGACACACCCCTGGCCACATTATAACCCAGCATAGGGAAATCATTTTAGTTCTTAAGTAAAAGCGCTTCCTCCACCACATTCTGCTTTAATAATATTGGGGGTGAAAGGAATAGGACAGAGGAAGGAAAAGAAAAATGATAAAGGAAGGGAATGGGAAGAGAGATTGGAAAATTAATGGAAAGGTGCATGTAGAGTAGGAGGAACATAGCAGGAAGGAACGGGGGGAAAATGAGAAGAATTCCCTTTGGAATAACTGCGGGCGAAGATGGAGAGACAGATGAGGAGGTATGCTCTTAAAAAAATGAGATCATTTACCATCCACTGTCACTTCTCATCAAGCTTTCATCTATCAGACGTGCTTCCACATGTAAACTTCATCACATGATCGTACATCAAACCCAGACCGGCCGGGCTGAAGACAACCCGCCATCATTAAAACAAAAAATCCTGCGATAACACACGATGATTAAAGCTGAGGTTAGCCTGTTACTTTCAGTATATACAAAAATAAAGCAAAATGACTGACAAGGGAGTGTAATTATAGACTTCTATTAATTTATTTGAAGTGTTTTCTTTGCCTACTATCATTTATATGTCGACTATAAGCTATTTTTGAAAATTACGACAGTATTTCCCCGGAGAAATTATAAAAAGGGAGAGAGATGGTAGTTCGATAATCTAGTACAGAAATATGTAAAGAAAATCTGAAATATATATATCTAAACGGCAGCTACTCCACCGGCCACTGAAGAGCTAACGAACAGCCAAGATGGGAAAAGACTCGTTGACTCGTTTTTATAGTAAAGATCTGCGCAAGTCAGTGTTTTTTACTGAGACAAGGTCTCCGTTTTACAGATGTTTTTATTACTTTTTTAATTACTATTTGGTAAAACAGATTGGGCAGTCTTGTAAGAAAAGCCAGTAATATCTCAGAGAGGAGACAGCCTGTGCTTTGGGTCATTTATAACAGGCATGTCCTTAGGAAGGCTAATGACATACTGGACTGTCTGAATCATCCACTCCACGGGGAGTTTGAGCTATTGCCCGCAGGCCATCATGTAAAACACCACATGTCTCTTTTTTATTCTGAGGACTACTGATACACTTAACGGCAAGTTACACTCTGACCATATTTCTGCTGCTACTGTGGCATGTGTGCACTTTCTTCGTGTTTATGCTAAATTTTAACAGTTTACATGAAACCCCTGGTGTTATATTACAAATAACCTTGAACATTAAAATGGAATTTATTCAGTGCTCTGGTGAGATGAGCAGAGAAAGCGATCGTGTTGCCTGTGTGGAGGCTGAGTGTGTGTTACAAGGGTGGATGTGGAGCTTCATAAATCTTATTTTGGAGCGAATTCACCAAACCTTCTAACTGCCTTGTAATGGCTTTAACAGTTGACACTATATATCATATGAATGTTCCTTTGTTGATCAAAAGGAAAGTTTCATGTATGTAAGGGCCTGAAAATAACTGCCCTTGCTTCTAGGAGGACTTTTGTTTCCCCAAGATTGACCGCTGCAAGGGGCTGGGGGGCAAATGATCTTTGATGGCAGGATCAAAACCACACCCACCAAAAATCAAACAAACAAACAAAGAGGATGTACAAGTTAGAGTAACAATGTCACTGCATCTCTACTCCAATAGTAATCCTGACTGAAAGCAGTCTTAGACCGTGCTTTTATTTTGAAGATTCAATAGTCTGCATGAAGAATGTTAGAATAGCAGGAATGTGTGTGTGTGTGTGTGTGTGTGTGTCTGTGTGTTTCTCTTGTTGTACTAAATGGCCAATTTCCACTGGGAATAGTAACTTAATTAAATACAGACAGAGAGACACACACACATACTGACCATCTGTATGTAAGTGTTGTGCTGTTGTCTGCCATAGTAGCGGTATGTTACTGCATAATAAGTGTGTGTGTGTGTGTGTGTGTGTGTGCGCGCGCGAGGTGTCTTTAGGGCGGCCTCACCGACAGGAAGACAGATGAAGGACAGGAAATGAGCGCGAGCAGACGGACAACAGTTGGTTTGTGTGTGTGTGTGTGTGTGTGTGTGTGTGTGTGTGTGTGTGTGTGTGTGTGTGTGTGAGTGAGTGTGTGAGAGAGAGAGAGAAAATGCAGGACATCGAAAGGCGAGTGTCATCTCACTAAAGGACAATAATCAATCTGTGGAGTCCGTGTGTTCTTGTATGTCTAGTTTTGTGAGGACAGATTAGATTTTATGTTGGGTCCGGGATATGGGAATAACTTCAGTGAGGGACCTCACAAAGATAGCCCTGCAAACGTATGTGAGTACATGTTTGTGTGCATGAACTAGAGTTAATGAACATTCCAGTGAGCGTTTTTAAGGTCCTTGAAATACTTGGCAAATGTAGAGTTTTTTGAAAGGTATTTCAGGGAAGCAGACATTTGTGAACGCTCCTTTTTAAAAAAAAAAAAAAAAAAAAAAGTGGGCATTTTAGAAAAATAGCAATACCTTGGAAAAGTTTAGAGCTATTGGAAGGTGTGGATGGTACTGGAAAAAATGGAAAAATGATAAGAAAATGAACACTTTTAGGAAAATTGTTCAAATATTTTCAGAAAGTGGAGATTTGGGGAAACTTTGGACGTTTTGGTAACTTGGTGACTTTTTTGCGAACTGTGGATATTTCAGAAATGTCTGGATACTTCTTGGGAAAGAATCGGTATCTTTGAGGAAAATGTGGACATTTCAGGAAAGATTTAGAACATTCTCAGTTCTCTTAGATAAACTTTTGAAAAGCAAATAACAAAGCCAGAAAACTGTTGGAGGCACGTGTAGGCAATTATAGAAAATAAGGACATTTTTGGGGGCAGTTTGGAGCTTTATGGCAACATGGGGATATTGTAAAGTTTGGGGACTGTACGATTGTGTAGATATTATGGTAAACTTGGAACATATTTTGGGGGGTTTTCTGGGAAAAGGTGGACACTTATGAGAAGTGAAAACCTTTCAAGAAAATATGGGCATTGAAGGAAGTGTGTCACAAAGTGTGGATATGATTTTGGGGAATTTCAGGAAATTAGGAGCACTGTTAGGTTTACATAAAGTTTGTAAAAGAAAGGACTTTTTTTGGACAAAGTTGAAAGATTTCAGAAATAAATTTGTTTTGCTTTGGAAATTGAAAGGAGGAACATTTTGTGAGAAAATGTCCACTTTTTTAGCAAATGTGGATATTTTGGGAAAGTGAGGACATTTTCAAGAGGAAAGCATATTTTGGAGAAGCGGTGATTTTCTGGGAATGTGTTTTAGAAAGTCTGACTATCTGTGAAATGTGATTTTATCTATCTTCACAAATTCCGGGAGGTATTTACTGTTCAAGTCTCGGGATCTTATAACCAGATTAGGGTCAAGAGCTGGGGAAATATCATGACACTGATGGTCCTCACGCTGGCAGAAAGACCAACCTGTGTGTGTGTGTGTGTTAATTCAATCCCAGTCAGACACATCAATACTGGCTCTCCACTTGAAGCATGACCTTTGAACTCTGGAGGTTCACCATCATCATTCTAGACACACACACACACACAAACACACACACACACACACACACACACACACACACACACACACACACACACACACACACACACACACTCAACACACTAGAATGTGTGTGTGTGTGTGTGTGTGTGTGTGTGTGTGTGTGTGTGTGTGTGTGTTTGTGTTTGCTGATGCTGCAGATGTGTCAGAGTCACCTTCAGATGAACACATGTTAGCTTGTTTTATATTCTCGTCTCTCTCTCACTTGGCTGCATAATGAGGAGCAGTGCATGCTGGGTCATGTAGTGTATCTTACCGAGGTGTTCTGACACTGAATGCAGGAGGAGTTGAAGCGGACGGCGGGGATGCGCTGGACTTTTCCCTGGATGTTAAACACACACTCGTAGTTTTTCTGACCAGACTGAGGTTGGGGAAGGTTACGAGCTCTCAGCGTGATTGGACGAACCATCCCGGCTGGAACCAGGATGTCAGAGGTAGGGATTATCTGAGGACAACCCTGCAGAGAGGGGGAAAGGGGGAGGTGGGTTAGTACACAATCATTTATCATTTATGACAGGCGAATGGAAATCAGCCCAGTGTATGATGATATATGTCATTATTAGAGAGAACTGTTTCTATTTTATTCACCGTAAACTATTGATCAGAGCCAGCATATGTCACTGTTTACAGGTACAATAAGATGTTGCATAGCTCACTTTAAATACACCTGTTTTTAAAGTTTCCTCACCTACTTTTTCACAAATGCTCATTTCTTTTCCAAAATGCCCTCACTTTTCACAAAAGTACACTTTCTAAAAATGTCCCGACTTTTGAAAAGTGCAAAATGTGTTCAAAATATTAATAAAAAAAACATTTTCCAAAATGTCCCTGTTCTCATTTTATACACATGTTAACAAAATATCACTTTCTCTCTCTCTTTCAGAAAAAGCTTTTTTTTTTTTTTTTTGCAAAAGTCTCTAATGTCCATGAATGTCCCCATAATCCAAAAATGTCCATATTTATTCTTGCAGTTGTCTTGAAATTTGGACTCCCAAACACATACATCTACTTCCACACACACACACACACACACACACACACACACACCACACACACCACACACACACACACACACACACTCGCGCACAGCCGACAAAGGCAGATAGCTTATCTAACAATCTGTCATCACTGAGTGGGGACAGAGACACTGTAACAGTGAGTTTGTGTGTGAGGTCAGTAATGGACAGCTGGTGACAGATCCAAACTTCCTGCGGCTGCTTGAAACACACCCCCACACAGTGTACACACAAACACACCCACACCCACACACACACAGTCTCTCAGTGGGGTGAAAGCTTTATTAACGGCCGTCACTACGGTAATTAATTGTCTTGTGAATGACAGGAAGACCATTAGCTCCACAGGAAGTGGACCAAAGCGCAGCGGTCGCCAGCAGCTACCGTGGAGACAGTGTGTGTGTGTGTGTGTGTGTGTGTTTGGGATAAAGGCCAAGTGTGACTGTGAGTCTCTCAGCAAACCCTCGACATTTAACCAAGCACATCAGCCATCGGCTGCACTAGAAATACCCAAACGAGCACAACGGCCCAGACACACCATCACACCGACACATCAAACAAACTTTATTTATTAAGCAGATTTCATGTGGAAGACTTGATGTTTCCACAGATGTGATTATATGATCCATTCTGATGCTTAGATCAGTGATTTGTAGGTTTGGAATTAAACATTTCTAACCAGGAAACAGCAGGAAACTCTAATCAAAGATTCCTCTTCCAGGAACACCTGTCCCTCTGATACACAGAAAGGCTGCAACTGTTTCCACCTTATGAGTGCTTGTGCTTTTCATCATGGTGAAATGTGGCCCTGGAGCCCACTGCTGTAGCACGAACTACAGCCGAGGCTATTCTGAATGCTCTGCCATATGTTTATATGTCTGTATGCAGATTTTCAATCATAAAACTTTAAAAGTGCGCAGCTGAGATCAAAATTAAGGCTCGTGTTAAGGAAGCGTGTAGTCCAGCTTGTGAGTACTGAGTACTACTGAGTCCCAGATATACATGTAATGTTTTTGCAACCCGATATATGGGGTATTTATCGGGTGTATTACATTTGTTTTGGGGGGTTTTCCAGTGACGGTGTTTCTGTTATCAGTTTGTAAATTGGTCTCCAGTTTTTCTTATGATATTGCATTGACCAAATTCAGCTTGGATCCTTTTTACTGTCAGTGATTGATGAAAACTGTGAGGTGTAGAGTTTGACTGAAGTGGAGCGTGCTGCATAAGTCTGAGAGAAAGTTTGTTACTCTTACCCGGGCTTAGGTTACAATTCATCGTAGTTACAGCTATACGATTTAAATGTTTCGACCGTTTTACTTTCATGGGATTAAAAATTGCCAAACACGCCATTTTGGAAAGAAAATGCTGGCACAGACTCACATGAGCTTTTCAACATTTCTATGACATTGTACAGACTGTTCCAGAGGAGGAACATATTAACATATTAAACATAAAAAAGGTATGTCCCAATTCGAAGGCCGCTCCAAATGCGTCCTCCTTTTCCCCAGATTTGAAGGATGGGTCGGGTGTATCCTTCGTGGCCCAACCTATCCCAGAATTCATAGCGCAGCCCAGCCAATTCCAGTTTCCAACAATGGCGGCAGCTACTTAGTTTTAATATTACTATCACTGTGAATGATCCCAAAGCTTGAGTTGCAGAATGTTTTGCGTACTCTTGAGTCTATATGATGCCACAAAAAGGGGACATCCCCAATGTCGTCATCACATCTCTAACTGTGAGCGCTGAACCTCCACCTGCTGTTCCAACCTCCTGTTTGTGAGGAGCAGCCAGTTTAGAGAAAGTTGGCTTAAAGGGGGAGGAGCCAAAATGGCTCGTTACAGAAAGAGGACAAACTGAGGAGCCAGTATAAGAGCCGTAATGATAATTATGAATATTAATCATGCAAAGCGTCTCTAGCTATAGCCTTAGCAGACTGTATTTTTCCTCTTCAGAGGCTCATATGGATGCAGCGAAGGCTTCGAGGCAGAGCCGTCTTCTTTACATCTGTATTGCCTCAGCTGCAACAGCGCCAGCGTTGGGCCTGTCAGAGGCTGAGCTCATGAGCACCATGGTCCTTGATTAAACTAATGTCCACTTCACAGGACTCAGAGAATTCTGCTGCTTTCTATATTTCTCTGCACTGGAGATCAACAGGTGAGCCCCGTCTCACACATTCAAACCTCTTATCTTATTCTTCTTTTAGCATGTTTACACAATGGGTGGGGTTTAGCTCAGGGTGAGGTTATACTTTGGGGGTAAAAGACAAACACAAAATCGCACAACTGAATCAATGGAACTAAATCTACACAGATCTCCTTCGTTCATTCCAGTGCACGTTTTTGTTCCTCGTCTATGCACCGACTGTGACAACTCCAGAAACCGGCTCCTTGTTTCCTGCACAGCTTCGCCTTATCTCTACTCGTTTAGTATTGCAGTTATCGCACAAATACTCTCTTATTCTCCACTGAGTCTACAAAGGCGGCTCTTTTATTGCACTGAAGTGTGATTTGTAAGCTTACATGCTATATAAACACTGAGCTTATCATTAGCAGAGTCTGGAAAACAGAAAGGATTGGCTTTTGTGGCCTAGTGTTTTCAGCTATTATCATCAACATATCATCAGCTTTTAAATTATCTTAGCAAACTGTGTTTTCACTTATGTTCTGCAAACACACAGTGATCATTAGCAAAATGATTATTGGGTGTTTCAGTGGCTTTTAGAGCTTTTACTCTGAGAACAGCTGCCTGCTGCAGTTATAAAAACAGCCAGAGTCAAAACACTAACATTGTGGGGAGACAGAAAAACATGACCCGAGACTGAATCCAAGATCTGTGAAGTCCAAATCAGCTGCAGAACAAGCTGAGGATTCTCTGTAGGTTAATCGTTACTAGCGACACCTGAATACTGCCAAGACATACATCATTTAATTAAAACACTGACTTTAAGCACTTTAAGAGGAGACAGGTAGGAAAGTCCCTCTGATGAAAACGTGGACCACTAAATTCCACATGCAGAGATTAGCAGTTTTCACACGCGCACCTTAACATCTGTACACATTACTCAGTGGTGCTGCATTCAAGGTCCAAAGACAGCGCACTAAAATGTTCTTGTGGTTTAATAAAATGAATTTTAATGCAGAAAAGGTACAAAATGTATCAGAATTAAAGGATGTTCACAGATTTTAGTGGGCGTCACATCTGCTACCTCCTCCTTCTCTATTCAGTTAGCTCATGTAAACCCCACAGAGCGTTACCAATAATGCAAATGAGCTGAAAGTGGACTACATCCCCCACGAGTCAAGGGTGGAAATCTGAAGTCTGTTTGAATTTCTAATAAAATTAAACCCTGCATCATCCACAAGGATTCAACAAAATATGAAATCTTAAATTGAGGCTGCTCTTGTTTTGCAAAGGAGAAAATAATCTATGTATTTGTTCCCAGGTTTTTGTGTTATTGTGGAGTTCTAGTTTACATTTAGATTTTATTGTTATTCCCCTTCTGGTTTTAGTGTCATCAGTGTTTCCCTGACTTCGCCTCTGTCCTGTCTTAATCCGGTCTTTAAGTCTGACGTCATTCGTCGTTTCCAGGTCCAAACTGCGCTTCAGGTCCCAAAGTCAAACTAACACTGCAGCATCACTGAGAGTCACAAACTATCTAAATTCTTTCATCATTAATAAAATGATCAGTGTTGCTGCTTTACCAGGTGTAACAATCAAGTAGCTTGCTAACCTAAATATGATATAGCATGTTCCGACTTAAAAATTCAAACGCACAGCTTTGCTATCACTTCCAACATAACTAAAGACAGAAAACTAAACATTAAAGCATTAAAACATGTTAAAAACACAACAGCTTTAACCTCCTAAGACCTGAACTCTTCCACGGCATGCATTTTTAATTTCTCTTTGATATTTGGGCTGATTGGGACCTGATTAATGTAAAAACAAAGAATTACCAGATTTTTATTTTTTTTTTACCTAATTTTTGTTTTTAAGAAAAATGAGAGCCATAAATGAGGACATTCTTTTAAAATTCCGATAAAACAGTAGCAATATAATGTCCTCGTAAGTGGATATCAGGCCCTTGTAGAGCAAAATTGAGTATTTTGGTCTAAATAACCCAAAATGTGATGTCCACATATGTGGACGCCAGGTCCTAGGAGGTTAATAAACGCAGAGTCGTTTGCATCTGGAAGCAGAGTTCATACGTCATCACTTAACAACAGGATAATTTAATCATTTCTCGTCACCTTCTGTCTTTGTTCTCTGATCCTACAAATATTTATTTTATCTTCTCGTGTCTGAATTTCCTCATTTCTGATCGTCTGCCCCACCTTAGTCATCTCCACCTGCGTCTCATTTGTGTTACAAGTTCTCTGGTTAACAGTATTGTTCTTCTCCTTTCATCACTCTTCTCTTCACCATCCACAGAACAATCCA